ACTTCCAGCCTGGAGCTGTGAGGTTTCGGGGTGAGGGGCAGGCCACTTGGCACTTAGTGAAGGGCGGAGGGAGCTTGCCAGGGCTCCAAAAGCAGGCTCCTTCCTCCAAGCGGTGGGCAGCTGTTCAAGGGCTGGATGCCTCAAGGAGAAAGTGCCTGGAAACTTCTGCCCCCAGCCAAGCTCCCACCCTTGGGGAGGGGTATTTGCCCCAGGAGTGAGTAGGGAGAGGGCAGGGAGAAGGGAGTGGGAGCCAGAGGAGAGAGGGAGTCCAGTAACTTACCTTCCTCGGCAGGGAGCTCTACCCAGGGAAAAGAAAAAAAGGACATATTCATTTGGGGTTCAGTCTAATGCCCCCACACCCTCCCTGGGATTTGTGACTAAGGTAGGAGAATCAGGCCATCAACAGGGCATCTGAGGTTCACCAAGGTCACCCATAAAACCTCCCAAACTCCGGGTCTCAGGGCCCCTGTCTGCCAGTATCCTCTCCCCCCTGTAGTCATTGGACCAGGGCCCAGCTCTTCCCTAAGTCCCCTGGAGGGAGAGGCTCCCACGCGAGTGTGAGTGTGTGTGCGCGTGCGCGTGCGTGTGTGAGTGGGTGCTGCAGGGCTGCGAGAGGCCATTGCCAGCCGCTCCAAAGGACACTTACCATTGGGGCCGTATTTCTCTATGTGCCGCTTAACTTGGTCCGGGGTGAGGCCTGTGGTCTCGCTCACCCCAAAATAGGCCAGACATTCTTCTGTGCTCTTGGAGTGTGCAGCCTCCATTGTGCTCCCTTCCTGGGGGCCAGGGGGCGGTGTTCCTTCTGGGGGCGTTCCACGTGTGGGGGGCCTTCCTCAGTGTGTTCACCTGCCTGTTTGTCTGGGTTTCTTCCTTTTTGTCTCCTGCCCCCCCCAGATTTTTCTTCCCTCCAGGAAGCTCTGACCCCCGTCCCACTTGCAGCAGCTGGCCACCCCCCCAGCCCCCAGCTGGTCCTTATGAGGGAGTGGGGGGGGCAGGCTCCCCCCTCCCCCAGATCAGGGATTGGCTGGCAGAGGCTCCAGCAGGAGGGGTCAGAAGAGAGATATTTCTGCTGACAGAGGGGGAACAGTGGGGCTGCAGCCCGAGGTGTCACTCAGAGGGAAGCTGAGGTGGCCCAGCCACAGGAGAGGGGGTAGGGAGGGACTTCACTTCGGTCTTCTGCTGCTGACCCCTCCCCCCGTTGCCTCAACGTCCTCAGTGGCACTGAATTTCCTATTCCAAACTCATCCCTCCAGGTCTTCCCTGAGGCCCACTTCTCCTCTGTCCGTCCCCTTCCCCTTTCCTCACCGCTTCCCGCCTCATCCACCCTGACCCTGTGTCTCCTGCCAGTCTCCTTCCTCACCTCGTTTGCTTAAAGGCCAGCAGACACTTGGACCTTAGGGGGACTAAGGGGAGACATCCTTTGGGGGCTAGAGGAAGTGGCTCTGGGGGAACAAGGGAAGCAGGGAGGGGAGAGGGTCAAGGGGACAGAGCAGAAGATGGTAACCCTACCCCAGGGAGGGGTTGCTGCAGCCATCAACAAGGGATTTAGTGTCCAGGGCCTGGTGAGCAAAGCCAGGACTGCCTGTCTCTCCCCTAAACTCCCCCCCACCCCCATCGCTCTAACCAAGCCTCTGGGAACATTGCCTTCAGGCCCCCCCCATCCCTAATAGTGAATCCCCTCCCAAGAAAATGGGATACCCAGGCAGCAAGGTAACCCAAGAGGCTGCAGAATGTGCTGATGGCAGAGGGGGATAAGTGTTTCAGGATGGGGGGCACCCCAAGTCATGGAATGCTCTCTTTAACCCGAGGGGTTTACCTGGCAGACCCCAGATAGCTGTGGTCTGCACTCCACCTGGCCCTGAAGTATCTGTCCTCCCAGGGAGGGAGGGCAGCTCTGTGCTCAGGCTCGGGGCCACCCCATTGGAAGAGGCCTGAGAGAAGCACATCAAGGCAGCAGGACAGGGGCCTGGGGAAGCTGGATAAATAAAGCAGAGGCTCCAGACCAAAGGCGTGGGGAGGGCAGATGGATGGGGACAGGTCTAGGGGAAATAAGGACAGAACAGAGCTGCGGTGGCAGAGACAGAGCTGCCAGGGTCAGAGGGAAGTCTGAGGAGCAGGGGGAAAGGGACAGCAGGGGCTGGCATGTGGCAGCCAGGTGGGTGGGGGCCCAGGGCTGGGTGCAAAGCCACAAATTGTTGCTGAGCGGCTGGCCTTGGCGTCAGCTTCCTCAGAGAAGCAGCTGCTCTGAGCCCCCGACCCCCACCCCGGCTCTGGAGGAGCAGGAGGGCAGCATGGGTGTGAGTGGGGAAAGGGCGGAGAGAGGCTTAATGGTGCAAGGTCAGGGAGGGGAAGCAGCCTCATGACCCTGACCTCCAGTCCTTCCTTGCTTTAGGCCTCAGTTTCCAGAAACAGTGAGGACTACAGACTACTGCTGGGTTCTGGCTGCTTCCCCGTCTGGTGCTCAGTCCCTGACAGTGCGGTGGGGGTCACAATGACATAGGAGGCAGCCCCACTTTCGGGGAGTGGGTAGGCCAGCAGGAGTGGGTTAGGTCCCCCACACTCATCCCTTCCTCCCCCTCTCCAAGGTGAGTTAAGGACATGGTGCTCTCTCACCCCACCCCCCTTTCATGGTCCCAACAAACTCTCCCTCAAGGCAGAACCCTGCTGTGACCAGAGGACAGGGGCTCAAACAATGGGCTGTGAGTGTTCACCAACAGGCACCTCCACCTGGCCCACCACCACCCACCTTCTTAGGCCAGCCAGGCCCAGCATCTGCCAAGCCTTTGGCGCTGGCTGGCTACTCCCCACCACTACCTGGAGGAGTGACAGGAGCACTGTCTTAAAGGAGCAGGAATGCCCAAACATGGAGAAGGGGGAGAAGACTAGACCGATCACAGCTTCAAGGGAGTTGAGAGCTGAGGAAAGGAGGCAGGCTTTACAGGATGCTGCTGCCAACAGGGCCCTTTAAGGTTAGTCATTTCTAGCTCCCTCCACTTCCCAGAGGGGGGGACTGAAGCCAGAGAGGGAAAGCCACCAGCCAAGAGCCGCAAAGGATCATCATCAGGGTGTGAACAGGGATGGAGGAAGGCTGAGCAATGAGGCGCTCGCTCTCTTGGATTCCTCCCACTGGGGGTCTCCAAGCCTATGGAGCTGGTTCTCCCTTCCTATGTCGGATGCTTAGAATGGGAGAGGTCTAATTCTGAAGGATGTGGAGATAGAGCCTGGCCAATCCCTGACCAGTTCTGAACTCGAGTTGAACCATCCAGAAAGGCTTACAGGGAAATCGTCTCTTAGGTTCCTCCAGCCAAGACATGCAAACCTTGGAGAATAGGAGGGGTCCGTGTACCCCTCCTCACCACCTTCAGAAGACAAGTCCCAGAGGCTGCCAGAGTTTAGAGGGAGGGGGAGCCTCGCAGCACCAGCTGCTGCTAGATTAGGAGGGGATCAGGCCCTACACTGCCGACACTCGGTGCCATAGTCTTTCCTCACCATCTCACTTTTAGAATACATAGCACCTAGATCCCCAAACCATCCTCACCTTTACAAGGCCAAGTCTATCCCCAGTCTCCTAAGGCCAAGGTTTGGGGGAGTCCCAGGGATTAGATAGAACGGGGAGAGCCAGCAGGCTTCCCCCGGCTAGCCCAAAGCCGGGTGGCCTGTGCGCCCAGCTGTCTCCTGTCCATCTCCCGACAGGACACAGGCCCAGAATAGCAAGGTCATAAGCATGGAAAGGGCCAGGAGGTGGGGGCAGAGGCTGAGGGGCGTGAAAGGAAAAGGGAGAGGCAGGATGATAAGAGACAGTGCTGGATGGAGGCGGGGAGGGGAGAGGGCCAAGCAAAATAGGTGAGAATCTGCCATGGCTGGTGAGCTCAGTGGTTAGAGTGTTGGCCCTCTCACAGAAAGGTCTTGGGTTCGATTCCCCATCAAGGGCATGTACTTGGGATGCAGGTTCAATTACCAGCCCCAGCTGGGGCATGTGGGAAAGGCAACCAGTCAATGCCTCTCTCACATCAATGTTGCTCTCTCCCCCTCCCTTCCACTCTCTAAAAATCAATGTGGGATGAGGATTAACAACAACAAATAGGTGAGTCTTCAGAATCTGGCCCTTCCTTGTTGGCACCCACCACCTGCAGAGCTGGGAAGCCCAGGGGTGCCTTCCACTGGAGGGCACAGCGCAGCCCAGAGAGCAGAGCCTGGGCTAGAGAAGGACTTGGCTGGGAGTGGAGGGACTAAGGAGGGCGGGAGCTGTTGCAGACTCAATACCCACAGGGCAGGCACATCATGTGAGTGGTCTGCGGGGATGAGATGCGGAAGGTGGAACAACTGCACGAGGCTGCATCATCTGATTTTCAAGAAAAGCCAATAATCTGAACTTTTATGTGAAATTTCAATGGAAACATTATCCAGGTCAAGCAAGCAATGTCAGTAGCTCCCACCTAGATGCAACCTCCTATTTTAGATGAGGACACTGAGGCCTGGAGGGGCCACACACTGCCAAGGCCACACAGCAAGCGAGAGGCAAAACCAATGCCCTTTGCCTTCTGTCCTCCACCTCCCAGCTTGGCTCCGAGAAGGGGGAGCGTCAGCCTGACCTTGGGCCCCTCTGCAGCCAGACTGTGTGTGAAGTCTCTCCTAACACAGCCCCACGCCCAGCCCAGCCCAGCCCCATGGCCTCTCTGCCAGCTTTCTCCCTGAGGAGAGAGCCTTACTGTAGAATTCAGAGCAGGAAGGGTCCTTGGAGATTGTTGATCCTGCTGCTCACGGTCCTGTCTCATTAAGAGAACGTGCCTGGAGACCCCGAGAAGCACTGTTTGGCTCTGCACTTACCGCTCAACACACAGGGCAGTCCCAAGAAGCAATGGACAGAAAGTACAGGACTAGGGAGCAAAGGGACTTCATTGGACCGGCCCTCTGGCCGCTCAGCTCTGGGGCTCACAACTCAAGTGGGCTACCTTCCTGACCCCGTCCCAGCCCTCACGGCAAACACTGGCCACAGTCACCACGATGAACTGAGATAAACCCTTTTATTTATTTATGCTTCTCCATTTTGTTTAAAACAACAACAACAACCACCTTAATATTAACTGACAGCCCTTCCCCCTCACCCCTCCTTGGGCTGGGGGGTAGATAATGGGGAAATGGCCCCCAGGGGCGGGGCTGACCATAGAGCCCCTTGGAGAGGTAATGGAGCCCAAGTCCCCTCCCCAGGGGACGGGGCACCTGTAGTGTATGAACTGGGGAGTTAACGGGACTCTTGAACCTCTTCTTGTACCAACATATATGCCCTTGGCCATCAAGGGTAAGGAAGCATATGGGGAGGGGATTCCTACCGCTCCTCTATGTCCCTGCTCAGCCCCCGTCTCAGGAACTGAGGGCTGAGGAGCAAGAAAGTGGAGAAAGGGTGGGGGTAGGGTGTCACACAAAGGAGTACTGGTTATTAATGGCTCTGGGGTGGCCCCCTTCTTCTCCATCGCCCCCTAGTGGTAACTGCTGGAGCTGCACCATCGGTGTTGCTTCAGGGACCCCACCAGATCCAGGGCCTCCCTGGAGCTCCACGCCTGGTGTCATGGCCTCTTCCAATTCAACCATGGGGACCAGCTCAACCACGGGGACCAGCTCTTCCTGGACCCCTCCACTGCCCACTTTCTCTTTCTCTTGCCTCTCTTTGGCTGCTGTGGCTGTTGCTGCTGCCACTTCTGACATCCCCGACGCCTCTTCTGCCCCAGGATGTGGGGGATCTGTCCATGAAGGGGGTTCAGGGGGTGGGGGTGGGTCGTGGGAGGTGTTCGGTTCTGGATAGGAATGGTAAGAAGACAGACTAATTGTGGAGGGTGGCAAGCTCTTGCAGCAGCCTCCCCTTCACTATCCCCCCCAGGAGCCATGTGCTATCTCCCACATCCCATCTTCTGAGCAACCCCCCCATCCATGGAAGATGGATCATGGGCGGAGGTGAGAGGAGGACCACACTTACACACAGTCACTCGCTCCGAAGGGCATGAGGGTGGAGGAGGCATCGGGGTAGCATCGATCTCCCTCGCACACCCCTGCATGGCTCCCGGCCTGCTCTCGGCCTGGGGGGGAGGGGCAACGTGGGGACAGATGGGACGTGGGGGTGGGGAAAAGGGAGAGATCAGACAGGGACATCAAACATTAAGGGAAGAGGGAGGGGGATCAAACAGAGCATTCCCCAAAAGGGCAGGCCCAAGGCAAGGTGATGAGGAAGGGCAAAGACAAGGGGCGGTGTATCCAGGAAACAGACAAATGATGGAACAGAGGAGTCTGATGGAATGGGAATGCACCAACCCACTCTCAACTTCCTCCCGGCTCCAGCAGGAGCCCTGCGCCTTCCTACTTCCTCGGCATACATTTTTCCCTTTGAAACCCCAACACACAGGCCCCTTCTCTCCCTGTTCTCCCCAACAAAGCCTCTCCTCTTCACAGGCCCCCACCCCACCTTTCTGGCGCACACACCTCCTCACTTCTTGGGTGCACGGGCACCTCCTCCCCTGCAGACCTGCTCTGCTCACCCTGCTGCCGCTGGGAGGACACAACATAGCTGCCAAGGACAACGTCACTGGGGCCTCCAGACTCCAGCGGGATGGGGTGCACCCGGAAATGCTTGAGCATATCAAAAATGGACTGGAACCACAGGTGCTGGACCCGGCACTGACCCTCCTCATTCAGCGACAGACGCAGGTGCTGAGGGCAGGATGAGCAAGGTGAAGCAGGAGCCCAAGCCCCTGCCAATTACGGAACACTTCTCCCTGATGGCAACGTCCCCACTCCACCCGCCAGCTCCCTGCGGAGAATAGGCCTTTTCCTCAGTCACTCACCTTGGCCTTGCCCTGGAAGTTGAAAGTGAGGACATATTCGCCCCGCCTCGTCTCACTCTGACGTACCAGGAAAACACCATGGGAGTCGGTGCCTCCAGCCAGTACTAACTGGGCAGCCTTGAGTCGAGAGAGCATCCCGTGGAACCAAGGATACCCTGAGAGGGGCTGCTCCCCCTCACCTCCCTCTGATTCCCCCTGGAACAGGAATGACCCTTCAGGAAGGAGAGAGGGAGGGAAACCTGGGTGTCAAGGAAGCCTCCCCCATCCTGGGAGAAAAGCCTTGCTTCCCCTTCCTGTGTCACTTCCCTCCCCCGGGTCAGCTCCCTCAGGATCCCAGGACAAGTTTCAGGTAGGTGGGCAACCATGCCTGCACACAGACACACACTCACACCTCTGGTACCTGTGGCTGTTTCTGGAGTGTCCAGGGGTGGGTAGGGGGTTGAGAGGGGATGAACTGTCCCAGCTGGGGGTTCCTCTTCAATGGGGATGCGGGGTGGCAACTCTGGGGGAAGCAGTTCCATTGAGTCAAAATGGGAGGCAGCAATGGAGGCGGAACTAGGGGAGATGGATGCTGAAGGGCGGTCTGAAAGGCCCCCATATGCCCCTGGAAAAAAACAGGAGGGCAAAGTTGAGAACTGGAGAAGCTACTTTTTAAAAAAAAATATATATATATTTTTTATTGATTTCCGAGAGGAAGGGAGAGACAGAGACAGATAGAAACCTCCTATATAATAAAAGGCTAATTGCAAATTGTCCCTTCAACCCAGAGTTTGACCAGTGGGCGGGGCCAGCTGCCCGGCTCCTCCCCCCCACCAGGCCAATAGGGGCAGGCGGGCCAGACCCCACCCGTGCACGAATTCGTGCACAGGGCCTCTAGTCAGTGATGAGAATCATTGATTTGCTGCCTCCTGCACACCCCCTACTGGGGATCGAGCCAGCAACCCGGGCATGTGCCCTTGACCGGAATCAAACTTGGGACCCTTCAGCACACAGGCCAACACTCTATCCACTGAGCCAAACCAGCTAGAGCTAGAGAAGCTACTCTTGGACAGGAGTGGTCTGCCTGGGCCACCTCCCACTAGTCTGCCCTGTGTGGACTGGCAGGGTCAGCTGGCTGAAATGTTGGATCCTTCTCCAGGCAGGGACCCTGATATTTTCCACCAATAGCTAACTTAGATTTCATACACTGCTCAGGGGTTACAGTTACTGAAAGGAGGTCCTAGAATCCAAAAGTGCCTCTGCCTTTTTTGTTGTTGCTGTTAATCCTCACCCGAGGATATCTTTCCATTTATTTTTATTATTATTTTTTAATCCTCACCCTAGGATATTTTTTTCCATTAATTTCTAGAGAGAGTGGAAAGGAGGGAGGGAGATGAGAAGGAGGGAGGAGGGGTGAGGGGGAGAAAGAGAGAGAGAGAAACATCGACATGAGACATTGATTGGTTGCCTCCAGCATGTGCCCCCACCAAGGCTGGGGAATCTGCAACCAAGGTACATGCCCTGGACCAGGAATCGAACCCAAGACCCTTTGGTCCCCAGGCCAACCCTCTAACCACTGACCCAAACAGGCCAGGGATCCACTGATTTTTAGAAAGTGGAAGGGAAGGAAGGAAAGGGAGAAAGAAACATCATGTGAGAGACACACCAATTGGCTGCCTCCTGCATGTGTCCTGACCATGACAGGGGACCAAACCTGCAATTCAGGTATGTGTCCTTAACTGGAAATCGAAACCCTAACCCTCTGGTGTGAGGGCTGATGCTCTACCCACTTAGACACACTAGCCATGGAGCCTCTATCTTTTGAATTGACAGCAGAAATGGAGACAAATATTTTTGCATTAAAAAGGGGTCCCTCGCCCCAGCTGGTTTGGTTCAGTAGACAGAGTGTCAGCTTGCAGACTGAAGGGTCTTGGTTCAATTCCAGTCAAGGGCATGTACCTAGATTGCAGGCTCAATCCCTGGCCCTGGTCAGGGCGTGTGTGGGAGGCTACCAATTGATGTATATCTCTCACATCAATGTTTCTCTCTGTCTCTTCCCCTCCCTTCCACTCTCTCTAAAATCAATGGAAAAATATCCTCAGGTGAGGATTAACAAAACAAAAAAACAAAAATGTTTTAAAAAGGGCGTCTCAACTTGACCGGCCCATGTGGCTCAGTGGTTGAGCATCGACCCATGAACCAGGAGGTCATGGATAGATTCCCATCAGGGCACATGTCCAGTTGCAGGATCCAGGCCCGGTAGGGGGCATGCAGGAGGCAGCCAATCAATGAGTCTCTCTCATCATTAATGTTTCTATCTGTCTCTCCTTCTCCCTTCCTCTCTCTAAAATCAATAAAAACATTTTTCTTTAAATGGGGTCCTGCCCAGGCCCTGGCAAAATAAAAAAGGTCCTTTTTTTGGTCAATAGGACAAAGCCTCCAAATCTCAGAGGCATCAAAGATCCTCCTTCTATGCCCTAGCCGATTTGACTCAGTGGATAGAGCATCAGCCTGCGGACCAAAGGGTCCCAGGTTCTATTCCAGTCAGGGCGCATGCCTGGGTTTCGGGCTTGGTCCAACGTGCAGGAGGCAGCCAATCAATGATTCCCTCTCATTATTGATGTTTCTGTCTCTCTTCCTCTCTCAAATCAATGAAAATATCTTTTTTAAAATCCTCCTTCTAGCCTTGATTCTCTTCCTCCTCTGAGTTCCCAAGGCACTTTCTTCTGGCTTGTGCTGCTCAGAGAACACTAAGCACAAACTCTCCATTTTAAAGTCCTGCTTTTTAGATGTCTTGTCTGCTCAGCTAGACTGTGAGCCCATGGAGGGCAAGCAGCTAATTTCAGGCATGCCTGCACCCCCCACCTTGCCCGAGCCTAGCAAAGAGCCAGGTAGGTACGAGGGCATTCCCGAATATCTGCCGAGTGGCAGGCGGGAATGTTGTACACAGTCACCGCTCAGATAGTATGTGTGCAGGGTAGAGCGCAGTGGCTCAGGCATCAAGCTGGCATAGCCCATCTTTGTTAGTGACTCTCAGGTGACATTGGGAAAGCCATTTCTCTTCCCTGGTGTTAGCTGCCTAAGAACAGAGGGGATTAGAACTGATGGCTTGTAAGGTCTGTTCTAGCTTTAAAATCCTATCGTTCGTTTTACTCATCGAACACGGCCTATAGTTGTATGCTAGGCCAGGGGTGGGCAAACTTTTTGACTCGAGGGCCACAATGGGTTCTTAAACTGGACCGGAGGGCCGGAACAAAAGCATGGATGGAGTGTTTGTGTGAACTAATATAAATTCAAAGTAAACATCATTACCTAAAAGGGTACGGTCTTTTTTTTTTTTTAGTTTTATTCATTTCAAACGGGCCGGATCCCATAGTTTGCCCACAGCTGTGCTAGGCACTGTGACCCTGAACTCAGAATGGAGGGTCATGAGGAAAGGGTGTGGTAGAGTCTAGAAAGGTGAGCTGGGGTCAGGCAGATTTACAGGTCTCCGTGTTTATGTGTGTGGGTAAGGGTATGCACGTGCTTAGTCAGGCTAAGAAGTACAATTAAAGAAAATTGGTATTGCTGACACATGCACAGACACAGAGTCAGAGCAAAACAAAGATGTGTACAAAGTGTTCTGGAAGCGCCCTAACCGGTTTGGCTCAGTGGATAGAGCGTCGGCCTGCGGACTCAAAGGTCCCAGGTTCGATTCTGGTCAAGGGCATGTACCTTGGTTGCGGGCACATCCCCAGTGGGGAGTGTGCAGGAGGCAGCTGATCGGTGTTTCTCTCTCATCGATGTTTCTAACTCTCTATCCCTCTTCTTTCCTCTCTGTAAAAAAATCAATAAAATATATAAAAAAACAACAACAAAGTGTTCTGGAAGCTTGGAGACGAGAACCGTATCTGCAGCCAGAGTGGTGGTCTGCACAGGCTTACGGGAAAGGTGACAGGCTGGGCAGAGAAGGCAGGCTAGGGGTTTCCTTGGAGCTTGTGTGGGGTGGTGATGCTGATGGTCCTAAATGGCAAACTGTGGCTTAGCATGTTCTGGGACAAAAGACAAACATTTGGTGGGTGGGCGTGGGTAGCTGAGAGGCAGGAAAGGGTTTACGCTGGAGAGGGCCTGGAGCCCCAAAGCAGGGGGTCTTACATGGCAGGTCTGAGGTTCCAGCTCCCTAAGGCTCTGCCTTACCCTGTGACAGGCGGTCGTTGCTCTCGCTGGGTCCCAGCAGCAGATCCTGGCTGGGCAGACTCTCTGAGTGATTCAGGCAGGGCAGTTCCAGGCCGTCTGTGTTCTCTCTTGTAAGAAATGAGGCCCCAGGGGCCAGTGGGAGGGTCATGGGGTGGGGACTGGTAGCAGGGCAGGGCCTGCAGAGACAGGGAAAATGGTGCTGGTAGGAATGTCAGGTGAGAGGACAGGCTGCTCCCACCCCAGCCCCTGGTTTCCTCACCCCGGGCTCAGGCATTCTTGGATGTCAGACACCCAGGCCTTCACATGTAGAGCATCAGCTGTCTCCAGGATATACTCTGAGGAGCCTTCCACCTATGGGACAAGAGGAGGTCCATCGGCATTGCCAGTTCCTAAGGCCTAAGGCAGCCCTAATGAGAACAAAAACATCCTGCCTCTCCCCACTGCTCCCAGAAGAGCTGTAGCTTCAGGGACCTACGCTCAAGGAACCCGCCGTGCATGCACCTCCTCCACCAATGCCCTTGCTGTTATGTACTGAATGCCTTCTCCCCAACAGGAGTGCTCCACGGGGCAGGGGAGCTCACGGCTCCCACCTTAACCACAAACGTGTTCTCCCGATCAGGCATCTCCAGCGCTGTGGTCGCCCGCACATCCGTGATGGTAGAGCAGGGAATGCTGAGCCGAGGCCGAGACGCCTAGGTTGGAAGAGAACAAGATCCAGACCTTTGGTGGGTAAAGACCATCTTTCCCTTCCCTCCACAGATCCATCTTTCCCTCTACATCCTAAGGGAACTAGACAAAAAGGGGTAACACTACTCCTTCAGTCCTCCCCACAGCTCCTAGCTCAGAGTCAGGAGCCAGCTTTAAAAACCAAAGCCTGGCCAGTCTGGCTCAGTGGCTGAGCATCAACCTGTGAACCAGGAGGTCACGGTTGGATCCGGGTCAGGGCACATGCCTCGTTTGTGGGCTCAATCCCCAGTAGGGGGCGTGCAGGAGGCAGCTGATCAATGATTCTCATCATTGATGCTTCTACCTCTCTCTCCCTCTCTGAAATCAATAAAAATATAAGACAAACAAACAAACAAAAAACAAAGTAAGCCAAGCTATGCATATGGGCTATTACCGCTTTGGCAGTTCAACCATTCACTCCCAGTCACCCGCCTCCTCTGGGTCTCACCTTGGGTGGTACAAAGAACTCCAGGCGACTTCCTCCTCCTCCTTCTCCTTCACTTCGAAGCAGCAAGCGACACTTCTGCCACTGAGGTTGCCCTCCTCCCCCTGAGGTAGGCCCAGCTGCCCCTCCTCCCCGGCCCACTCCAGCCGGGTCCGGGGCTGCCTCTTCAGCCCCCATGAAACTCAGCAGCTCTTCCCTCTGCACCATCCCGGCTCCATCCCTCACGGTCCCTCCTCCCCGACTGAGTCTCAGCCTCTCAAAACGGTGAGTCCATCTGTCCCCCGGGGATGTTCCATCACTAACCAGTCCCCTGCCAACGGTCCCAGCCCCACCAGAGGAGTTGGAGTTGCTGTTTCCACCTAACACTGGGGGGCCTGATGAGGTCTCCAGGGGCCCGGCTGGGGAGAAAGGGTCCACGGTCCCCCGCCACTGCAGGATGCCACGGACCGAACCTCGGACGGAGCGACCCACTGAACGGAGGTAGAAGCGTTTCTTTAGCTTCGGCTTCGAGGAGGAGGCTGTAGAAGAGGAAGAGACCGAGGAAGGGAGGGGGCCGGCCAGGTCCTCAGATGATCGAGAAGGGCCCAGCACAGCCAGAGGCCCGCCCACCCTGCAGCTCTCAAGGGACAGGTCATGTGGTGGGATCTCCACACCAGGACTCAGAGGGGCCGGGATGGGTGGTGAGAGGGAACCAGAGACCCGGGCCACCTCAGCTTCAAAATGCTGCAGGAAGAGCTCAGCAAAACGGCGGGAGAAGGCAGCCTCGGCCCCGGGCCCTGCATATTGGGGGTGGGAGGCCAGGTACAGGCGAAAACGGCGGGCAAAATCCAGGGCCGCGGCCCGGGCATGGGACTCACAGAACTCCCGCCAACTAGGGGGAGGGGGTGGTGGCAAGGGAGGAGGAGAGGGGAAGGCCCCATCCTCCAGGGAAGGGGCACCATTCATGATGGTCCCCAGGAGGTGCAGAGGGGGAGCCTGCGGGGAGGGGCAGCAAAGAGGGAAGCGGCCAGAAGACACGGGGTGAGCGGCAGCAGCTGCAGGAGAAAGAGAGGCACATACACCGAGTCACCGCTGAGGTGGGACCGGGGGCAGAGCCCCACCCGAGCCAGACTCCCTCCTCTGGTCTAGACTCATCAGAGAGCAATGGGGAAGAACAGCAACTGCTTCCCTACCCTTTCCAAGACCCTCGCATCCCACAGGCCCCAGCCGGCCAGCTCCCCGAGGTCTAGCTGCACCCACCCTGCTGCCTTCCCAACCCACTTTCCCAGGCGTTGGTTCCAGGAGTGATAAAGGGCTGTCTAAAAAGTCACCTCCCTTCTCTAAGACAGACCCTCCGATGTGCACCATATGCTTCGCAAGTGCCGTTCTTACCTTTCCCCGTGGGAGTTTTAATAACCTCTACAACAGATGCGAAACTGAAGCTCAGAAAGGTTTCAGGGACTCGCTGGACCAGCCTCAGCCACAGCCTCACTGCCCCAGCTCTGGGAGGAGCTAGGCCTGCAGAGCTCAGAGACCCGGCCTCACTATCCCCAAGTCCAGCTCTTAGGGAGGTTGCTCATTGAGGAGGGTGGATGGATGATGGATTGAAACAGCAACTGTCTTGGAAGCTGACCCCAGGGCCCAGCACCCGAGCCCTGTGTGAAGGCCTGCAATGGTCACAGCCCACTTCTTTGCTGCCCCTTCAGCCTGGAGCTCAGAGGCAGCAGCACCAGGTGAGGAAAGGCTATGAGGTCGGGTCAGGGCAAGTCTTTGCTGGCCACAAACTAAATAAAACGTAACAGGGAGCGGGGGATCCTCGAACTTTTCACCTCCCTCTTCTCTCACTGGGGAGTGTGCCCTAAAGGCTGGCTAGCCTGCTGGTTAAGGCCATGGCTTATGGAGTCAGGCTTGGGATGAAATCCAATCTCTGACACCTATTAGCTGTGTAATCTTGAACAAATTCTATGTCCTCTCTGAGCTTCAGTTTTTGTATCTATCGGGAGAATTAAGTGGAACACATCAGTGCTTGACACAAAGTAAGCACAAAATAAAGGACCACCATTATTGCTATCTCTGTGGGTTCCCATCTTCTAAAGAGAAATTAGAGAAGGAAGGGATTTCCCGAGGTCT